TTAGGCTGACGCTATCTTCTTCCAGAAAGATTTCATGTATCTTTAAGTACTGGGGTAGGGAGGAGAGGGTATACAGACAGACATCTTTTTAATCAAGTTCAAAGCTTGAAGTTTCCTGGGACACCTAATGACCGAGCTGAGCAAGTGCCACGGTGGCCCTGGTTTACTTGCAGTTCACCCTTCTCCCAAAGTGCAGCCCTTTGGCGTCCTAGTCTAAGGTGATTAAATGTATGTAAGGATAGCCCTAGACTCCAACATCCCCTTAGTGGCTCCTCCTGAACCAGCAGGTGCTCCCCAGGCCAAAAGCACCTTGCGTGCTCAGCTCAAGCTCCTGGGTTTCTATATGCAGAACTCAGCCAGGTAATCACTCATGTTTTTGTTGGCTGTTCACTGCTTTTTTAAAAAAATAAATAAATAAACTTTACGCCTTAGTCAATTTGACTCAGTGGATAGAGCATCGGCCTGCCTGAGGACTCAAGGGTCCCAGGTTCAATTCTGATCAAGGGCAAATGCCTGGGTTGCGGGCTTGGTCCCCAGTAGGGAGCGTGCAGGAGGCAGGTGATCAATGATTCTCTCATCATTGATGCTTCTCTCTCGCTCCCTCTCCCTTCCTCTCTGAAATCAATAAACATATATTTTTTTTAAATAAATAAAATAAACTTTACATTGTGGAATAATTTTATACTTACAGAACCCCCCTGAATGTCCTTCATTCTGTCTGCTCCGCCTAACGTTAACATCTTATGTAAACGTGATACATTTGTCACAACCAAGAAATTCACTTTGGTACATTCCTAGTAACTAAACTCCAGACTTTATTAGTATTTGACCAGTTTTTCCACTAATATCCTCCCAGTATTCTGGGTAAGAAGCAGGACACATGTGTTCTCTCCTCTCAGATCCCCAAACCCACCAGGGGACACATCTTGCCCACCCCATTGCTCTCCCTCCATCCATCCCACGGGGTAGGACCAGGTGCAGGGCCCATACGAACCCCTCACTCTAGGCCCTTCTCCCGGCTCTTGCAATACTTTTAGGCCTGGAGGATCTGTTTCTAACGGAGTCCGCAAACCTGGCTCCTGGTTAGGTGTGGGGCTGTGGAGGGAAGGACCTCACCATACACATGAAGGGAGCAAGGATGATGCATATTAGATCCAACCCCCTCTACATGAAAATTAACATTTTGGTAACACTTCTTTTACTCTCCGGAAATGCAATTATAAATAATATGTCTTCTCACACTTACTTTTAAAAAAAAATCACAATACAATGCCTGAGCTGTAACAGAGGGAACAAATAAAAGGAAAACAACTTGTCACCAAATAAAACATATTTCAAAGTGCCAACGCACAGGCCCTGAGACGCTGGAAAACGTGACAGTGTCAGATGCTCATCCCTGCCTATAGCAAATAGTTAGGATTTGAGATAAGCAGGAAGGTCAGAAACTATTCTGTATAGGACAAGACAACAGTGAAAGAAAAGAGATATACTATCAAACCCTACAGTGGTCAGCAAACTGCGGCCCCTTGAGTGTGGCTCTTCCACAAAATACCACGTGCGGGCACGCATGTACAGTGCGATTGAAACTTCGTGGCCACACTCAAGGAGCCAAAGAGCCGCATGTGGCTCGCGAGCCGCAGTTGGCCAACCACTGCCCTAGAATAAATATTATTTTCATCTGTGTTTTTAAAACTGCAGAAACCCGTTACCTTTTGCAGCCTATACATGTAATGGGAGTGGGGTCCAGGCTGGGCTCATCCTTACAGGGTTTTCACTGATGCGAACCTCTGTCCTGCCCAGCAGTGCCCCCAATCACAGAGAAATTAAAACCTGTCTCCCACATCACCAGAATATCTCTCTCTCTCTCTCTCTCTCTCTCTCTCTCTCTCTCTCTCTCACACACACACACACACACACACACACACACACACACACACACGCCTCCCAGAACCACTGAATTATTACTTCAAATATTAGCCCAACAAGTGGATAAATTTCTGGCTGTCTGTATGGATGTACACATGCCCAAATGGAAACAGCAGTTTTCTGACAGAGAATGGAAATTACAGGAAACATTCCCATTGTTCTGTTGCTGTTTTTTTATAGCATTTCTGTATTGTGTAAAATTTTGCTTACAAGCTGCATGAACTTTGCAATCCAAAAACACACACTGACAGGCCTATTTTGGAAAACGATGTGTCAGGGCTCCCTCTAGTGTCCGTGTGCATTTTGTTCCTCTCAAGAAGGATTCAAATCTACGGTGGGAAACCGCTAATTCACTTTTTTGGATGCTAAGAGGGCTCTGCGCGCTGGGAGACCAGCCTTGCAGCACGGCCTGCAGATGGCTCCCTCGCAGCCCAGCCCTGCAGCTTCTGACCCCTGCCTGCACCGCCGCCTGGTGGCCAAGAGCCGTACTGCGTCCTCTGGCCCGATGAAGGAGGGGCAGTGGGCACTGCCACAAGGGCTCTAACCTCTACCATTGACCTATTCTATGGGCCCCCTTTCAGAATAATATTCTTTTTTTTTTCAGAGAGGAAAGGAGAGGGAGAGAGAGATAGAAACATCAATGATGAGAGAGAATCATTGATAAGGCTGCCTCCTGCACGCCCCACACTGGGGATCCAGCCCGCAACCGGGGCATGTGCCCTGACTGGGAATTGAACCGTGACCTCCTGGTTCATAGGTCGATGCTCAACCACCGAGCCATCCTGGTCGGGCAGAATAATGGTCTTTTAAATATATAAAATACACACGCTTAGCAGAAAACCAACAACACTGAAGTGGTTATCAAAATGTGTATGTGTGTAATATAGGAGTAAACGCGCATCTCTATGAGCGCTTGCAAGAGCCAGCTCTAGTGGCAAACCTAATTACTAAAGATTGTCCATGCCATGAGGAGCACCCACAATATTTTGAGTTATCGGTGACAACGTGCTGTGCTAGTGTCTGTGACTTGTCTTGGTGGCAAAGTCACAGGTCCTGCTAACACTCGGAAGGAAAAGATATTACTTAAAGGTCAATATGTAACTTTTTTTCTCATCCCAATTCATGGACTCCCTGAGTTTTACACACAGACCCCCTTAGGCGTATGGCTGTGGGCATGGTTAAGACTCCTGGGAAGGGGCAGGGTTTGGGAGAAGTGCTGTCGTGGGATATGTTAGGCGGGGTGGGGGGCGGGAGTGTGTGCTGGGGGGGGGGGGA